GCCTGGGAGATGGCAGCCAGCACTGCCAGGACAACCTGGGGCCACTCGGCCCAGCAGAGCTGCCCCGCTCGACTCCTTCCCTGTCTACGATATGGCCGCTCAGTGGCCTCAGGGTAGCAACCACCATCTCCGAGACAGCTTTAACGAAGGTGTCAGCGGGAGCGGAGGCGCGGGGACCTGCTGGCCTCCAGGGAAAGCTTCTCGCCTGCCTCCCCCATGCCAGCTCCCTCCCAGCTCACCCAGGAGGCTGCCCTGAAGCCCAGCCCTGGGCACCGACTGCCCCCTCCGTACGAGCGCCCGGCAGAAGGTGACGTGCAGGGTTTCTTTGCAAAACACTGCTTTTATTTTGTCACATCAAAAGCAGCAGCAGCTCTGGCAGGAGCCGTATATATAACCTGTGGTTACAGCTTCCTGCTCCGAGCTGCTAGCCACAGGCATTGCCGAAGCAGAGGCCCAGACAGTATTTTTGTGCGCCAGCAAAGCTCCTGGCCCAGCTACTGCTTCACCGCTGCCACATGGCAGCAGCAAGCCCCGCGTCGCGGGAAAACCTGGCCAGATGTTTTCCCAGCAGCCAGGCATGGACGTGGCTGGGAAGCTCATGCTGGTGCTGCTTAATGCCCGGGGGATGCCCCGTTACATAGCTCTGCAGCTACACTTCTGAGCAAAGATCACAAGTGAAATGTCCCCCAGCTGCTGAAGAGCAACTTGCCAAACATTCTTAGTAGCAAACACCAGGTAGGCAACTGGCTAAAACTCATTGCACTTTTGAATAACAACATATTTGGGCTTTTTGGTTTCTTCTACTGGAGAAAAAGTACTGGAGAGCTTCCTCTGGTGCTGCAAAACCTGCCCCATCAACACCTCCTGCGTGGCTACCTTGCCCACACTACCACCATTGCCCAGGTTGGCCAAGAAGGCATCTTTTCCAAAGCAGTTTAGTGCCAGTGTTTCTTATACCCAAATAGAAATGCCTTAGCAAAACAGGGAGCAAAAACACAAGTGAAGGAGATGGAAAACCTAAAGACCCCCCTCAAAAGCTAATGCCCAGTCCTTTTTCCCTGGCCTCCTGCAGTGCACTGTGGTCTGAGCAGCCCTCTGAGTCTCTGCAAGGGGATACTAGGGGTCACAAGTTGACAGCCCCTCAGCAGAGCAGTTTGCAGGCATCCACTTTGCATAAATTCCTGTGCTTGAAGAAAGTTTCTTCTATATTTTAAAATAAAAGGTAAAAATGTAAAAAAAGAAAAAAAAAAAAGAAAATTCATATGAGGAGCATCCACAGAGTGTCCATATTTTCCCTATGTATATTTTCAGAAATCCAGATCCAGCTCCTGGCCAACCAAGCTCAGCCAGCAGCCAATTCCCTTGAAATAAAAGCTGGAAGAATTTCTATATTTGAAACCCCTCTTCTGTGGCTGTGAAACACAAGGTCTTCACAAGGCCGGGATGCAAAGACTCCCAGCCACTCACCCCCGTCCTGGGCAGATGGCTATCAAGGTGTCCCCGTTCAACCAGGGTTTCTTCTTCACCACTCCAGCACCAGCAACCTGGTCGAGATGTCCGTTCTTGGGAGCTGCTGGCACCTCTAGCCCTTGCGGGGCTCCTTGGGCAGGAGACCAGGCTGTGTGCGTGGCAGGAACCAGGCTTTCCCCTCGCCAGGATCTTCATGCTTCCCAAGGCTTCGCCAGGAGAGGCTCAAGATCCAGCTGCAGAAATGCTAGGGACAAAGGTGTGGACACAAGAGATCTTCTCCCTGTCACCTCCGTGCTGCAGCCTCAACACCAGACCCTGCTCAAGCCCGGAAAGCGCCCTTGATCCTTCAGGAATGCTTTGCGGAACCTTTCCTGCTCTGCAGCAAGCTGGGACAGGCACGGAGAGGGGCGATGCAGCTTGAACCCTCTGCGCCAGGACAGCAAACCACTTGGAGCTGAAGGTCTGTCTAGACGTCATCCCACACTCATTAAACATTCATTCCCTGCAATGAAATGGCTTTTAATTTATTAACCGCTCCGCTGTTCCTCATCGCTCCGCTGCTCCTCAGTGCAGCCTTACTCCAGGCCAAGCCTGCATCCCCCCGAGGACCGGGCTTGGGAGGCATTAGAGAAAAGAGGCATGGAGTCCCCCCCGAAAAGTGACTTGGCTTAATAAAGATATGAAAAAGTGCCCGCAGGAGCCAGGAGCAGAAAGCCAAACGCTTCCTTTGGACGTGGATGTTTTTCAGGGAACTGAAGCCAAGCAGGAGCAGAGCCGCGCTTGAAGCCGTGGGGAGGCTGGAGGGGTTTCTCGAGGGTGGTTGTGTCGAGCAGTCGGCAGCGCTGCCTCCCTGGGCCGCTGAAAACCCAACCGCTGTGATGTGCTCTTTGGCTGTCAGAGAAAAATGTTCAAGCCAGAGTAATTCCAGGAGAGAAGAGAGCGGGGTGGACGGAGGAGAGCAGACCGCACGACTACCCTGCCGGCGTGCAGCTCCGAGGCCGCTCATCTCAGGGGAAATGGGATTATCTGTCACCACTTCTGGCAGGTTTCTCCAAAAATACAGTCTCTTCAGGATGCCTCCAGAGGCAGTGAACAAAGAGAAGGGCTCAGCTGGATAAGCTGCAAGAAGCTTTCTCTTTTTCACCCGAAAACCTCAAAAGGCTGCGGAGGCTTGTGGTGACTTTTGCAGGAAGAGGCTCCCAGCCTCAATGCTAAACGGGTCACGTCGTCAGCCCCTCAGGAACGCCCAGACTCCAGCACAGTCTTAAAAGACCCGCGGAAAACTCCAGGGCAGCCGTTTGGGGGGCAGTAAATCAACCCG